TGCTCATACTCAGAAAAAACATAAGTGGAGATCTAGCAACATCTCTTATCAAACTGACATATCTCCTTTAATTTCTTCAGGGGATCATTAACATCGTGGACATGTGATGCTGCTGGAAATCATAAATCATGTGGGTTGGATTGCATCCTAAAGATCATCTCTAGTTCCAGTTCTCCTGTCAGGGGCAGGGACAGCCTCCACAAATCAGGTTGCTCAAAGCCCCATCCAACTTGGCCTTCAACACTTCCAACTTCCACAGCTTCTCTGGGCAGCCTGTGCCGACACCCCACCACCCCAAAAGTATAGAATTTCCTCGTAATAGCTAATCTAGACTTGCTCTTTTTCATCCTGAAGCCATTACCCCTAGACTAATCACTCCATGCCCTTGGCAAAAGACCCTCTCCAGCTCTCTTGTGGCCCTTTTCAGGCACTGGAAGGTGCTCTCAGGTCTCCCCAGAGCCTTCTCTTCTCCAGCCTGAACATCTCCAGGTCTCTCAGCCTCACAGGAGAGGTGCTCCAGGCCTCTTCTTATTACAGCCTTCTAATCTTCTTGAAGTATAGAGTGCTATTATTTTTGTATTTCTCCTGCTTGCTTGTCTGGGTGCAACACTCAAGTAAAAAAATAAAATCAATACCACTGATAGAGATAATGATTGTAACCTGATGATCTAATTTACTAGTTGGGCTTTTCTATTCTTCATTTTATGTTAGTTTTTAAGACACTTTTATTATTTGATTTTATTTCTCTCCCACTCCAAGTTTCTCAAGGTTAAGTTTTGATTAGAATTAGATGAGAATCTTTTCAGAAAAATGTCTCATTTTGATTAAAAGCTATTACCTTTTGAAAAATTTTAATGATATTTTAAACTTTTTTTTTTCTTTCTTTTTTTAGGGCCAACTCTAATGACTTACTGACTTTCAGGAAATAACTTCTGGTGGAAGGCATGACTTGATCTGAGGACCAGAATAAAACCTGGCTTTTAATGACCAACAGATGTCTGCATTTATATCTTGGCCATATTGGACTATATGCACTTTGAGCAGTTTTTCTGCAAATACAGGCCATGGATGTTTGGATTTGCAAGTCACAAAGTATCACTATTGAACTTTGACCAGATGACTGAACCACTCTAAATAAGAAAAAAGCAATGTAATTCCCAGTGCAACTGGTTCACCAACTGTGTTCACATTTCTATTCACTACAAACCAGCATCTACACCAGCAAAATTCCACAATAGGAATGTATACCAAAAATCACCAAGCATCACAAAAAAATAAACTCAGAAGTATTTAAATAAGGCATTTTTATCCAACTCTTTTAACGAGGATCTACTGCATTCTCTTTCCCTAATGCCAACTACATTATAAACACTGTGCTATCAGAAATAATCCATGTATATTAACTTGTTTCTGTATTACACTGCTGAATTAATATTGCTTAGAATACTCCTTCCTAGCAATTAGGGTATTTTCACAGAGCACAGAGTTGCAGAATTACAAAGTACCTTGATAACTTCCATGCATTTTTCTGTCACAGTACATTTAATAGCAAAATCTCAAGAAGCTACTGGAAAAATAATAAAAAACATGAAAATTGTTGATACAGTACAGAACTTCTGTGCCTTGGGCTTGTACACAGTGTGGATTCTTCCAAGTCTCCACCTGACACATAATATGTTGTTGGCTTTCTGAGTGGAGTACATTTTCTTCAGTACACCTCTTCCACATCCCTAGATTATGCAAACAGATATGTGATGATACCCAAATTACAGAAATTATTAGAGGTGTCCCATCACTAGAGCAGCCCATCACTAAAGCCTGCCCAGCCACAAGTGTGTCCCAACAATATTTTAATGAGGTAGAAAATTACAGATCTCTTTTTCCAACATTTGTTTTATTTTGGTTTTTGATGGACGTTTTTAAGCCAAGAAGTCTCCAGTCACCTCTCATTTTAAAGGTTTGACTTCATCTGCTCATCTCCCACCTGATATCTCCTTTCACAGAGTGGCACTACACCTCTTTCATCACAAGTGTGGATGTCAGGGCATCACTTAGAGCTGCGGGTGGAAGAATGAAAAGGGGGAACAGAAGAGCTTTGAATAAAAGACATTCTATTTCCACATTAATGACTCCTCTTTATGAAACAGAGGGTGCAAGAATACAAAGTACACGTGGGTACAAGGAACTGAGCTGTGTCTACAGAGTGTTTTCTCAGAGTTATGTAGTAAGCATCATCAGACTGTTTTTCTTCAGGGGTTTAAACTTCTCTGGAGTGATAGGAGGAAGAGGTGTTTCACAAAGCAGCCAAAAATAGACAAATAAAGAAGAAAATTCTCTTGACAACAGATACAAGAAATGCAGCTGTAAAAGACACTACAGCTTCTCTGATGGTTTTTGCAGGTAGAGCCTTCTCAAGACTAAAACTAGCTCAGTGGAGTTTATTCACAAGACTTTTGAGTGACCCAAAAGCTATTTACAAGACAACATGACAAGCTAAAATGGCAATGAAAATATCAGTGAACAATCAGGAAAATGCACTTTTGCTTTCATCAACCATTCAAACCCATGTAAAAGTCTTTAAAGTCTTCCAGGAGCACGTTCCCTGTCAAAACAAGCAGTGCAACTAAATGCAGCCTCAAGAAGGCCTGATGCCAGAGGCCTTGCTTTGTGTCTTCCAATTTTAGAGAAGTCTTAGTTTAGAGAGTACTGGAAGTAATCTGTACTAAAGGAACTCCTCAGCCTTCCTTAGATATCAGAATATTTCCCCCATTCTCTGCCCAGTACAGCTGTGTCCTGGTTGATCCCTTCAAAGCCATAAAGTACCAGGAATAGGAGAGAGTATCCCCATATTCTGCTCTAAGTTGTGACTTCAGGACATTTTACTTCACTATTTATTTCTGCTCTTAAGAATAATGAAGTCAGTCTTCTCGCTTTTCAGGTTGATTACACTCTGCATACAAGCCAAAATATATAATAATGAATTTTAAAAGCCCAACCAACAACAAATCATGGGGCACTGAGCAAGGCTTTACCCAACCTGTACACCAGCACTGGCTACAGAGATGGTGCTGCAGAAATCTGGATTTCAACTGTACTTCTGCACCCTCTTAGGCCTCAGCTCCCTCTTGCCAACCGTGACCATGCCTTGAGTGCAAAGGGTTTCCCTTCTGATTCAGCATTTCAGCGCTGCTGTATCCTCAAGTACCTGGCTGCACAGAATGGAAATGGAAATGCATATAAAAGCCCAGTGCTGCTCTCTGCGGTGTTCTCAATCACACAGTCACAGCTGTTTTCTGCTGTGGATGTGTTTGAAGACTGACATTGTCCACAGAACTGCAGCTAAAATCATTCTTTTGTCCTAGGGTCATTATAAATATGCCAGAATGAGATGCAACAGTGTATCCACAAGTTGTCTTATTCTCACTTTTGACAGAAAAAGTAGTCTAGCTTACACTGAGATGTGTTATGCAAGGGGCATTCTGTTCAAGGTGAAAATACAGGCTTGCAGTTTCATGTTTTGTGAATGGCTGTAGGGAAATTAGATGGGTGGTTGAAACATTTTTTCATTTTTAACTTGCTGTTTGCCTTTGAAGCTCCAAGCCTAAGTTCCCTTATTTGTGAGGTTTTAAGAGACCTTCAAATTTGAGCTCCACAGAAAGGGAAAATTATAACTTCATCATTTTCTTATTGCAGGCATCCAGCAGCTCATTTCACAATAAAACAGAACTGTAAGCAATGACAGGAAACTTCAAAAGGCTTGGAGTACTCTACAGGACGTGGAGATCCAGGAACAGGGACAGTCCTTTCAGCCCCCTGAGACCCTTCAGCAATTACAATTTTGTTGGATGTCTCCATGACAGGGTACCCAGATTTCTATTACTTTCTGCTTTTATTAGCCCAGAAAAAAACCCCAGAAGTTGTGTAGAGCTCTGTGTTTGCATCTGACATTTTGAGACCCTGTTATGAGTCCTGCAGGAAAGAAATAGTGATATAAACACACATGTGACTGTCTGTACAGACACTCCCATAGAAATGAGTTTAAAATGGAAATTAGCTTGCATTAGCTTCAGCTAACACAGGTTCTGAGAAAGGATTAAAAAGCAGAAGCAGCAAACAAAATCTCTGTCTATCCTTTGCAGACCAAATATAAATTCAACTTTGGAAGTAAATGTGACCTAGAGCTATTCCTTCTTTTATAAATTAAAAGAAAATATTTGACTGAACCACTCATGAATCTTGCTATGTTCAAAACCTGTGGATTTGACATAAATTTATAGTTTAGAAACTACCACGCTGGTCTCATTTTAATCATTGGTTCAGTTCCTCCCAATTTCAAGATGACTATTTTATCAAAAGCTTCTCTTCTAAAGTCATATTCACAGGACACAAGCCCATTTCTGCTCACAGGCAGACTAATGCCTCCATAAGGAATTTATGAGAATTCCCACAGATTTATACCAAAACACAAGAAAACCTTATATTTGATTTGGACTGTACAACCATGTCTGCAGGGGAAAAAAAAGTTGAGTGTCTCTAACTCTCAGCTTTGTTTTCCAAATAAATCAAAGTTACACTGATTTCTGTCTAGTGGAAACATGTTCACTTTCAAGGACTAAGCAGGTCTAACAGTAATTAAAGGCACAACACCAGCCACTAGAGGATGTCTATCTGTGGCAGAAATGCTGGTGTCCTCCAAGACCTCAGGCTTTGTCCCTTAATTGTAGCAGGACCAGACTGAACTCTTCACTCTCCCACCCTAAATCAATGCTTTCTTCAGACTATTATTCAGCATATTTCAGTTCTGCATGACTCTTAGATCAAAGACCCCACGTTCCAATGTTGTATAAATAATTCCCCTTTCATACCAGTTCTAAATTCATCTCAACAGATCAGAAGTTCAGGCTGTATTCAGCCACACTGCCTTCAAGACTTCATTCCAACACCTCTGTATGTGTGGGGAAGTTGTGTCAAGGAAATCAGGAAGAGGGTTTTGCTCTTACCAGTAGAACCTGTTGGGTGTAACTCCCTCATGAAGAAGCAGCCATCTTCTGCCAAACTCCACAGAACTGAATAACTGTGGACAAAAACAAACAGTCACGAATCACAGTGAAACACAAAGATACCAGATAAATTAACCTGAAAAACCTTTTACCACTTCTGAGACAGTGACCTGGACTTTTATTCATCCCAGTCTCAAAAAGACACACCTGGGGCAGCTGAAACATGTCTGTGGTATCTTTTGTTGCCATAGAGAATACTGAGATTTGTGATATGGGACACAACTGGTGTTGTGTCCCATATCACAAATCCTGAGGGATCACTTTATGGGTAAACCCAGCAACCTGCCCTGAGTGAAAATTCATCACCCACTTGCCTTCCTCAATATTATGTTCAGAAGAACATTTTTTTTCCATTAGCAGTGCCATCCTTAGATGTTTTGTCAATCTGGCACCAAAAAATGTTCTAACATGTCTAGACCTGCCTTGCAGGACTGGATGAGTTGAAACAGCAAAAGTTACTTGTTTCAAGGAAATGTGTGATCCTCCCTCTGCTCTTGTCCTTCTCCTGCCAACAATGTGACACCTTCTCCTCGTCTGGTTATGCAAACAATATCCAAATACATCAATCATTTCAGAAAATCCTTCCATGATAAATACCAAACCAGCCTGAGAAAGGTCAGCTAAAGGGCATGTTACAGGTATTAAAAATCCTCTGTCATGTCTTTGTGGAATGATTTACAAATGTTACTACTACAGAGCACTTACGAACAGCTGCTCTCCTTAAGTGCTGCCACCAAGTAATTCTCAGAAGGCCAGCAGAGGGAAGGATCACTTGGGTTCTGCTATTTATTTTGCTTAATTTAGCTTCAAATTCATCATGTGGAAGGACTGAGAGGCAGTCAGCCCTACACTCTTCTTGCAGATTCATCCTGTTTCCCTTCCTTTCTTTGATTGGTAGACTTGGTCAGTCTCCTTTTCTGTCAAGGAAGATGTTGGACATTGTTTTTTGAACTACTATCACTCTTTTCATGACAACTCTTAAAGGATTTTGCATAAAATGCAGATGACCTGAATCTTTATGTGCAAACCATGGCAAATTTTTTTGGAACATGAAGTGGCAGTGGATTGGTAGGAAAAATGGATGTCTTTGAGAATACCAGAAGAAAAAAATGATGCTTTAAAATCTTTGCTTTCATCAAAAAGATAATTTGAATGTATTTTAATAATTATGAGACTGGGATGCAAAAAAACTTTGAGGTCTACTTATTTGGATATTTATTCCAAATGCAAAACTTAATATCCATACCTTTCCTATGTTAAAAAAAACTTTTAAGAACATGGAAAAACTAATTGAAATAGCTTTTTACTAAAGAGTAGACTGGCATGTGTTAAAATTTACTTTGAAATATTAAAGGTAAAAATTCACCTCTTTAATCTCCCTTTCTCTTGAACACTGTCAAAGAAGAGAGAGGGAAAAAGTGGAAGGGACAGACAGAAGATAAGAGTAAGAAGAGGGGAAAACAGCTTACTTCTGTGGCTAGAAGTGCATCCAATTTTTAAACTTCAGTGAGTGTTATTTTTCCTTAAGTAGAAGATTATAGATACATTTTTATTTGAAACTTTAGGAAATGCTAAGTATAACAAAGGAACACTTTTCTATTTGGAAATTAAATAAAATCTTTTGGAACATTGAACAACCACTTTTTGAAGTGATTTAAGGTCATCTATTCAAGAACTTTACCTTACAGGAAGTATTTTCCCTCCTACATATTCAAAATCCATTTCTAGACCTGTTTTTTATAATTGCAGCAAACATAAACAGGATAACAATAAGCTATTGCTGTTATCTATTATCTCACTGATGTCAAAGTTTTTATTTTCATGTTGAAGTACTTGTCTGCTAAGTGTTGCCTTTGACATACAGTAATCTAAGTTTAAAAACCTCATGTGAACCTTTAAGAACAGGGAGCAATCCAAACTCAGTAAATACCTCTGTATTTCCAGACCAGGGATAAACAGGATGCAAGCTTTCCAGGGACACTGATGGTCTGACAGCTGAAGTCATCATGTTGAATCTTGTTTTCCCACTTTTTATCTTTCACCCTCATTCCTCTGTGGTTTCCCTGAACACAACTAATAAGTTGTCATTCCCTAATAAGCAGGTTATTCTCTCTCTGAATTTGCTGGTGACAGCAATGGTGCCCAGAATGAATTAATCACAGCCTGCAAAAGCTTTCTCTGTGCAGGTGCAGCACCCTCCTCCCCGCCTGCAGTGCCCAGTGCTAGACAGCTCCGGGGCCACAGCTCCCCTCTGGCTCTTCCAGCACAGCTCTTCCTCCAGAGGGACCTTGACCTGGGGCATCCTTCAACTCCCCCACAACTGCACAGGCTGTGATGCTGCACAGCACCCAGACAGCCCTGCTTTCTCCTGATCTGTGCCCTGAGGAAGACGTGATTCAGGCAAAGAAGTGGAGAAATGCAAGAGTTTCTAAGTCTGTTTCAAAGGTAGGAAATTGATCCAGCAATTCTACTGTGAGGGCTGGACTGTTAAATTAGAAGCCAGTGCCCAGTGAGCTGGAGACAGCATGTGAGAAAAGGCAACAGCCCTCAAAGGGAAATACCAGCTCCCTGGGAGCCCATTCCAGAGCTGTCATTGTCTTTGATAAGACGCTTTCATAACCAGACATTAGAAGGTTTTTCATCCTCTGCCATTATCTCAGCACCAGCTTTGGCCTTTACTGACTCACAGCAGTGCAAGCAGCACTAATGTTATCTTTAACAAAGGGGGAATTCCCCACCTTATGTATGACCACCACCCCCCAAAAAAAAAAAAATTGCAGTAAGGATTTTTTCAGATATTTTATTCTCAGTATCACTAATTTTTAAACCTAGTTAATTCAGTTGGACCAAAAAAAAGAAGTCTTTGAAGGCTATGTTTCTGTCAAGCATCGGTTATGATCCAGCTGGGATTATTTTTCCCCTTTTAGCAATTGTAGTGCTTGAATGGATATTTTTAAACCCAGCATGGCATTTTGCTCTTGTTACAAAATCCCTCTCTCTCCTGGGACTTCTTGTGATAGCCTTGTACATGCAGTCCCTTCAAAGATGACATTTTGTTTTCTTTGGCAAACACTGCTGTCTGATGACAATTTGCATTATTAGACTGAAGTTAGAGAATGTTCTTTGCTACACTTATTTTTCGAGCACAGATAGAAAAGGAACCTATTACAATTTTATTGTATGTTTTCATCAGAGGGCCAAGCTGACACTTCTGTTTTCATGGAGACAAAACTGTTATGAAGTACAAATCTTGTATTGATCTCTCAGATTTGACCCTTGTTCCTCAAGGAATAATTCTCTTCTTGCTTCTTCTCATCTACATTTTTTTCCTGTGTAATATGCAGATTGTGTAACAACCATTAAACAGTCTGGGTTTGCTTTGTTTTCCTTTTTTAAATCTTAATAGTCTGTGAAGTAGAAACCTACCACCTACCTCATTTATATAAGAGAAAAGAAATGCAAAGGAAAAGAAAAGAAAAGGCTGTTCTGAGGTTACAAATACCTTCTGAGGCTGAGCAGGGATTCAAATAAACCCTTTGAATGGTGAGACAATTCCCAGCCCTCTCACAACACGACACCACGGTCTCTGGGGGTAGGGAAAGCTGACATCTGACAACTGAACTTCTTTCCTTATCTACACCAGACGTGATAGGATACTCCCCCTCCCTCATTTTTTGTTTCCCAGCCTGTATGAGAAGCCCAAGAGCTGCTCATGTATTTCATAGGGATAGTGTAAGCTTCATCTTGAAATGCTGTGGGATATCTAGGTAACAGCAGGATACAGTTGCCATGCATTATTCTTTTCCCCTTCTAATTTCCTCATCTTTCCAGCACCAACTTCAGACTTGGCTCATTTTTTCTTTTGCATTTCACAGTATAAAAAAAACCCCAACTAAATTCTATGAAATATAGGGAGAAAACATGATTTTTTTCCAAAATGTTCCATTAAGAATAATTGGGTTTTATTTGATCCACCCATTCTGATATAATGCCACCTAAAGGATCATTATGCCAGTCAAGACCTACCATTGCCCCTTCTGTTTTCAACAAATTACTTTTCCTAGCCAAAGCTGTTGTGTGAGGAATGTCTTGTGCCTCCATCTTCACTTTAGTGCCTTTAGAGATTGCTGCAGATACAACTGACCCTGAGGGTCCATGATGTTTCATCATTCAGCATTTAAAATAATTGGATTAAATATTTGATTCTGATTCTTCTCCACATACAGATCTTGAATCATGTGGCAGTTCCATGTGCTTCCTATGCTGATGAGGATATTAAATTTTATACAATGACTTAATCTCATGCAAGAAAAAATATGCACATAGAAATTCAAAACCTGGTTAAATAAAGGGTGATTTAAATTGCATGTTGGAAGTGACATTAGGGAAATACTTTCAGAACGCTAGTAGTTCCTATTATTTCTCTTTTACTTTAGAGATTTCCCCTAAACATGTTGTAATGGAATACAGCATGGAGTCTGAGTTGACTGTGTTTACCAACTTTGGTCTAACATTCAAAAAAGAAAAGGCTCTTTTTGTCACCTCTAGTTTCCGTGCACTCTCAACTCATTCTCCCTGGACACAGATCAGACCAAAAAATATCAATCTACACTACTTTATTGACCTAAAAAAACCCAGATGCAACTGGAAAACTAGCTCAGAATAGCTTTGAAAGCACTGGGTTTGATTCAAATTCACCTCTAATTCCATGAGAAGGTTTCTACTAGCCAGTGCTCCTGGTACTTTCTTCACATATGCTGACTTCTTGACTCTTACACTTCCTCATGTTTCTATGAGATGATTAAAACTAATGCTCTTCATGCTGCTTGCCCCTCACCCCTTCACACACCATTTATTCACATACAAAAATCCTCCAAACACCAGTGCACTCTGATTCAGACACAGATTTTGCACTGTTGAACCATATATATATTTTGAGAGATCTTTCTTTTCCTCAAATTTCAAATTCACCAGGGAATGCAACATCCCAAAAGCAGTTTAGCTTTAACTATAA